TGTCGGGTTTCTGAGCCCAGGTCCTGCTTCCTACCGAGGACGCCTTGAGTCCCCTCCCTCTCATCTCCTGTGGGGTAGGGCAGGGAAGGAGAGGGGAGAGGGCATTTGGTAGATATATATGGCCTGGGAAGGAAGGCACATTCTCTGTAGATCTGCTGCTACTCATGCTCAGGGGTGTGTTCTTTTCACCTCCCCTAAAATGTCTGGTAAAGTGGGGATGTAAAGGTTTGGGGGGGGGTGCCTGGGTGGCTCAGTCATTAAGCGTCTGCCTTCGGCTCAGGTCGTGATCCTAGGGTCCTGGGATCGAGCCCCATGTCGGGCTCCCTGCTCCGCGGGAAGCCTGCTTCTCCCTCTCCCACTCCCCCTGCTTGTGTTCCCTCTCTCGCTGTGTCTCCCTCTGTCAAATAAATAAATAAAATCTTTAAAAAAAATAAAAATAAAAAAAATAAAGATTTGGGGGCTGCTAGCCCAGGGGTTGTAGCAATTCCTGGTTTAGCGTCCTAGTTCTAGGGTACAAGAGGGGATCTTTTTCCTTTCTGTAGTAAGAAAGCAGAAGGTTGGTTGGTAAACACAGATGCTGGTTCTAAAGGGGGGGGAGCCCAGCTTTGGTTTAAACTGGGAGGCTGTTTCTCCCCCCCCCACCTGCCTTCCATACCCTTGTAGTTTGTGGTCTAAGACAGTTTATAGTTCTCACCCATCCACCTGTTAGCTACAGATGCCTACTAGAGATTGCGCTATTCACGTTGAAAGCAGAAACATGAAGGGAGTTTTACAAGGAAATCCTCGAGGCCAGTGACATTTTTCTGGGATGAAAACTACCACCCTTCTCCCCAGTAGGCTTCCCTATCAGCATTCTTTTGCTAGGTCTTCTCTAATTGCACATCCTACAAGTTCACTTCTCTGGAAAAGGCAATGACATCAACAATTTGAATGTTTTTTTAAATTTGTAATAAATTCATAGAGCTCCCCAGAACACATAGAGAGTTATGGTGATGTACCCCCCCCCCCGTTCCACCCAGCCAGCTGCAGTCCAGCCCTGCTCTGCACAGGCCACCGCTTCGTGCACCCGGGTCACGTTGAGGAGACCTTGCAGAGGCATGGTCACAGTGGCCACGGCCGGTCTGGGGGCTGTGGTGGCAGAGAGGACACACGGGTTCAGTGAACTGTGGGGCCCCCCCCACATGTGGCTGGGGTGCTTTAAATCCCTGCTTTAAGATGATCAGTTCTGCCACACTCATCTCATACCTTCTAGCCAAACGGAAGAAGAAGCTACAGGGGAGGTGAGCCCCGATCCCAGCAGGAACGCGCATGATGCCGTGCGCAGGCCGACTCCGGGTCTCCCTCCTCTGTCCTGTTGGCGCAGCAGGCGTCAGCAGCGGGGCTCTCCTGCGCTGCTCACCCGGCCCGTTTCTTCTTGCACGCCATTTGCCCTTTTTCAGTTGCTAGAAGGGGATGCCAGGCATTACCTTGGGTTGGGGCATGCTGTTTCATTAGCAGAAATGAGGCAAACGCCTGCCTGTTCTACCACATCCTCTCAAAGAGGCAGCAGGGACCTCTTCAGTTCTCCCCGACACCTTCCCTCTCCTTCCACCAAAATGGATGGAATTTGACATCTCAGTAAATGGTTCTAATAACTAACCATTTTCTCGCATTCAAAGCAAGGCTTTCTGTGAATCTTGCTTAAAAAATAACATGCTTTAGTTGGGACCCTGGTGATTGAAAGAAGAGAATTTAAAACTTACAACTATAACAAGTTATCCCCAGACCTAGTGGCTTAAACCAGCACCATTTTTTTTTTATTATCTCGCAGAGTTCCGTGGGCTGGGGGTTTAGACCGGCAACTAAGAGCAAGGACAGCTTCTGTCAGCCGCAGGGTTTCTGGAGATGTGGCTGGGCCTGCAGCCCTCTCTCTCCGTCCTCTTGTCAGTGTGGTCTCTCTCGTGTGGCATCCTCGGGGCAAGTGCACTAGTACACGGTGGCTTGGGAGGCCCAGGCTGCAGGGCTTTTGGTGACCTGCCCTCAGCAATCCCAAATGTGCCTTTGCTCACATTCTGTGGGTCACGCAAGTCTTGGAAACCCGGCCGAGACCCACTGGCTGGGGAGTTAGATCCACCTTTCAGTGGGAGGGCTATCCAAGTATTTTTTTTTTTTTTAATAATTTTTTTATTGTTATGTTAACCACCATACATTACATCATTAGTTTTTGATGCAGTGTTCCATGAGTCATTGTTTGTGCATAACACCCAGCGCTCCACGCAGAACGTGCCCTCGTTAATACCCATCACCAGGCCGACACATCCCCCCACCCCCCTCCCGGCTATCCAAGTATTTTTAGCTATATTTTATCTACCACAAAAACCTTAATAGGATGTTGTGGTTAGATACTAATGTTAGTATTCAAAGTCTCATTTGATGAGTATAAAAAACTTCTGAAGAAGTTAGTAAATTAAAAAAAAAAAGCTCAGAAATTCTTAATTTCTTTATTTTTTAAATAGAGAACGTCTTGGTGTTTTTAAATTTAGTCTGCATCAGAGGACTAGAGGAAACATGCAGAACATTGTTAGATGAGCTAAAATAAACTCCATCTACAGCTTGACCTTTGTTAAAGTAAAAGGAGGCCAGTGTGACCTTTGTTCTCCATGGTATGTTAGAAGAATCTCTTTTGGACTGTCCAGCCACCTGACTATTTCAGACTTTCCCCACATTGGAGAAATCGCAAGTCTATAATTGCGTTGGATTTACATGTATAAAAGTTAAATGTGAGTAATCTCTGGAATGAACGAGCTGTCCAGCCTGCCTGTGTTATGTGACGTGGATTTGCGCTAACCAGGAGCTCTTAGAGGAGGCACGCCTTAGGACAGAAAACACTTTACTCCGATGAGTTACAGAAAGGAGGAGAGCACACACATTCTAATGTTTTTTGTGTTCCTGTGCGTATTTTTTGCAGGCTTAGAATGTTAAAATTTCATTTCTTAATCCAAGCAGAGAAAAATTCTCCACTTTTCACTTGGTCCTGACACTTTTCATCTAACTAGTCTTTGTAAAATGCCAATTCTGGCATTACCTCTATAGTGCGTTTTCCTGGGAATCTGAACTTAATAGAGAAAGCGGGTGTAATGCCTCTCTATCTGGCTATTGGGAGTGACGCTGCTGTGAAAAAATTATTTGTTCAAGTCCCTCCTTTTGCTCAAGTCCCTAGCTTCTCCACCTAGGAGTGGAATTGCGGGACCACGTGGTAACTCTGTTTAAGTATTTGAGGAACTGGTGTGCTGTCTTCCGCAGTGGCTGCACTATTTTCCTTCCTACCGGGTAATGCACAAGGGTCCCGGTTTCTCCACATCCTCACCAATAGTTGTGCTCTGTGTTTTTGGAGAATAGCCATCTTAATGGGTGCGAAGCTGTATCTCATTGTGATTTTGGTTGGCATTTCCCTGATGAAAACTATTTGTGTTTTTTTTTTTTATGTATTTTGTGTTTGTATTCGAAGGTGTTTTTTTTAATTTGTGAATCACGAATGAGCAGTGTAGAAAAATACTCTATAAAAATGGTTGACATATGCAGCTAAACTTCTTCCAGTTAATACAAGAATTTGAGAGGATTACAGTGCTTTATTTATATTGATTTTTGAAGTACTTACAGCAATGTTAGGCCAGTGCTGTTTTATGACTTTGTGGTAAGTGATTATATGGTCTGGATTAGGATACAGGTAAATTTGTTGTTGCTAGAAGAATTCTCACAGTCCACCTTTTTAAAATCATTAGTATTGAAAATTGGTGAATGCCATCCTGCTAAATGTTTTGAAAGTTGAATGTTGATGAAGAGATCTGTGCTGTCCTTCTCATTAAGTGGTTCTGTGTAGACAAGTGCTTATTTCCTTGGGTTTCTACAGGAAGACAAGCTATATATAAGGCTGAAGCTGAGCTCCCAGGAGTATCTGATGTGATGCTTTATTCCCAGAAATGGAGCTGTCAACGCGCAGCCCAAACCTATTGTCAGGCCAGCATGCATGATTGGACAGCAGAACAAAATATTTTAAATTAGGATTCTTGGAAAGTGTTGGGTTTTCTGTTTGCTTCATTTCTAAATAGACACAATTTTTAAAAATTAATGTATATTTATTGCACATTTGTCAAATTGTAATTGTTGAAACTGGGGTGGTTTGTTATGAGTAGTATTTTGAAATTCTGAACACGAAGGGGTAAGGTGTGTGTTGTGATAAAGAACAGTTCTAAGGCTGTTTTATTTTTTGGCTTAATCGGTGTGTTGTAGGAACAGCATCTGCAGGGCGCTGCTTCAGTTCTAGAGAGCTGTGTGTGAGATAAGCTGGCCCTTCCTGACTCCAGGCAGCAGTTCTCCTAGGAGTAAAACTTCCTCCAGTTTACTGAGGATAGTGACTGGCTGAGCAAACTCAGATTTAGAGCCCCCAGTTGCTATTAGGTGGTTTAACATGACTAATGGTAAACCCACTGTCCGTACTCATTCTTGTTCAGAAAGATTTGGCAGATATTGATGATAACCTTTTGTAAAACTTTTTCCTACCAAAGCATCTTGTTAGACCATCACTACAATTAAGTAGTGAATAAAAATTACAGTAATTAATGTAAAAAATAAAATTCCCATGTATGTGGGGGGTTAGCTACCCTCTTTTATCTGTGTTCCTTTGATTCTGGTTCACTTTGGTTCAAATTGACATCACTGGGAATTCTGAGTAATAATGTGCAATATGTCCCAAGAACACTGGGGCAGTAAATAATTGACAGAATATTACTGTGAAATGAAGATAAATATTGGTATCAATAAATATTGATTCCTTTTCCTTACTGGTGAATGCCCGTTTGTGCCTTTCTGCCCTTAATGTGTAACCACCTATTTGATCTCTAAAAATTGCTATTAAAATGGTCGCTGTTAAAAGTATAAGACTTTAATCTGGTTTATTTCGGTGGAGTTGACTCTTCTTAGTCTGTGGAATAGATTAACATGTGCCCCTCTTTCTCATCTAGAATGATTCTGCTCATGGTGATTACACGCAAAGTAATGAGGCCAGTTTACTAGAACAAGCCCCAATACCTCATGATGGACTTCCTGTGGCACCTCATAGAACCCAGCGAGAAGGTACGTTTGTTTTCCGTAAACTTACAGGAGAAGGTTGCAGAGTGCTATTTACCTTGGTTAACTCTAATTCTTCTCTCTCTTTTTTGGAGTAGAGAAATCCTACAGGTCCTAGGTTTGGCTCAGGCACCAGTCCCCCACTTTTTGGAGTCTGCATCTGGGCTCCTGCTTTGCAACACTTGGCCTGTCCTGGCTTGTGCTTACTTGGTTCTGCCTAGCGGTTGGTTGTCTTAAATCAAGTTGCATACTGTCGGAGGGCAAAAACCTTAACATTTTCCCAAAGTATTTGGTGTAGAGTGCTTTATCTGGAGAATGTGCTCAGCATTTCCTGAAAAAAGAAATTTTACGGAAGTTCACTGGAAGAAAATGAAGAAATTTCTTACAGGCCCATGCTTCCTGCAGTAATACAGATTTCAAGAGGGCTGGGGTGGGGGAATTGAAAGGACATTTTCATCTGAAAAGAAAGGAGTTCAAATATCCACTTCTCTTCATATTCGGGCAGTCCATTAACCTGAGGGGAAAATTGAAATGGAAAACGTAGATGCCATCCGGGGAAAGTGTGGGCAGTAAGCATCACACTCGGTTATGGCAGCTTTGAATCAACATCCTTTTGCCTCCTTTCAGTCCCAACAATAGTCCTTTTTGTGTAATATATTTTTCCTCGCAGAGGAAAAATAGGTATGCATGTTTAATGTTTTAAATAAAGTCTACATAATTACCTATTCCAGCCTATTCAAGACTATGAAACTACTTGACTCATGGCCTCCTTCAACCACACTCACTACACATGCGAGTGACCTGAAGCAGAGTTTGCTTTTACAATGAAGGTCCTTTTTTTTTCTTTTTAATAAAAAATTATTTTAGAAAAACAAAAAACTACATCAAAATGCTAACACCCACAAGATGGTACTATAGATGATTTTTCTCGTGTTCTTTATTACTAAACAAATGCATGTGACCTCTGCTGCTTAGTTTTAGTTTGTGAGGGCTGCAGCATCTCCCTTACTGGCCGTCCCTCACCATATTCTTTTGTCTTGCTCATCTTGATTCTGAGAGATCATGGCAGGTGGAACGTAAAATCAAGGCTGGAGACACAGCCATATTCCCTTACCCCAGAATGCCGTAGTGGTCCCCTACCCTTAGCCCACTGATTCGCAGAAGTAGAGCTGCTTTGTATTTTCTGAACATAGGTTAGGTCAGATGGTTTTGATTAAATAGCACCATCCTTTATCATAATTTAATAGAAAAGGTTTTGAAGACGGTAGACCCTCCCTGTCCCGCTTTGGCCTTGGTTGTACTGCAGCAGTTCTGAGGAGTTCAGGCTTCCAACCTGGCTTTTGAGATTTTCTTTTGTTTCCGTCTTCGGCATCTCTCACCCATTGAGGGGACATGACCCTAGAAGCGGGCCACCAGACACCATGTATTTGGAAAGTTGGCACAGAATACTGGTAGCGGTATCTCCTTAGTCTGTTAGGAATGTCTGCTTTCCAGTGAATTTCTGTATCTTATGTTTCCTGCTTTCTCATTGCTCACCATCCATGATCTAGAACAATCTTAATTCCTCTGTCTACTTCTATTACTTTGTGTATCCTCCTTCATCTATTTTAACTTCTTTCTCTCCAAGTAAATCCTTTCCTTTTCTTCGCCATCTCCCATCCCCCGAATTTAACAGTGACCCGAGCCTGTGGAGTCCCTCTCCTGACTCCCCTGTGACCTTTGTCATGTTCATGACTACCAGTCTCATTATTGCTTACCTCCCGTTTCTTCTGTTTGAGCAACAGCTTCTCTTGCTTTCTTCCTTTTTTTTTTTTCCTCCTCAAGTCCCTATATTATGGTTAGTAGACTGGCTCTTTTCAATTTGTAAAGATATTTACTTCCTGAAAGATGATATTTTTATTGAAGGATGTGTTAAATGAGTAGTTCAGGAGTTTGTACATTTGCTTACTTCATTAACAAGCTGACATCTTACCTGGTTCAATTCAGAATTACTCGTGTAACTTACGACCACTGTTTTATCTGTGTAATAGATTTGTGAAATTTTTTGTCATCGTGAACCTTTATAGTAAAGTTCATTCATAACGTTAAGTTTATAATACCTTCATATGATATTAAGGGTCATGTTGAGAACAACAATTTATAAATTCCCAATTGGAAAGAAATTTTTATCAGTTTTATATATTACTTTTGAAAGTTTTTTTTTCAGTTTAAACAAAAACTAGATATTTTCTAGTTTACACCTAGTATGCATAAAAACTTAAAGTGCTGTATGTGGTAATTGGAATAACAGCAGTTTTGAAGATGATCTTCTAGAAAAATAGTCTTTACTGTAGGTGTATTTTATTTATTCATTGGTGCTTAACAGGATGTTTGGAACGACTGAGGTACTCGGCATGCTGAACAGATAGAGAAAAAAATTCACGGATGAACGGCACATTGCTACACTTCTACACTTTTCGGTTTTATTTCATGATTTAAGACCAGTAGTAAAGATGAAGCTAAATAGCTTAATCGTTTAGCATTTGTCAGATTGGGTCACTGAAACCTGCACCTAGTCTCCGTAGAACAAGTCCACGTGTTTTCTTTCTTTCAGCCGTGCACATTGAGAAGATAATGTTGAAAGGAGTCCAGAGAAGAAGGGCTGACAAATACTGGGAGTACACCTTCAAAGTAAGCCCCTCTGCCCCCAACAGATGTCTCATGTACCGTGGTAAATGACCTTTTGGGAAAAATGAAAATTGATCTTTGGAAAAACTTACAGCAGGTTTGCTAATTTAAGAAAAAGCTGTACGTAGACATATGTTTGTCCTAATTAAGGGACTGTCCTGTTTTCAGTATGTGCTACATGGTTTGCCAATATTTTAACTGTATCACGTTAAAGTTACTCTGATGATTTTATTAAAAAAAAAAACTAAGAGCCTTCGATTTGAGGTGTAAGATGTATCTTTAAAAGTAAAAGTAAACGTTTTCACTAGTATTTTTTTGAATCAAGATCACGGGCGTTGTCTTTTCCTGGCATGGTTTCCCTGATATTTTTCTCCTCCTCTTCTTTGTCCACAAAGGCTGTTGGCCTTTGTTCCTTTGTCTCCCTCTCTCTCATTGCTTTCTTGTCACTCTGTCCTCAGATAGCTGTCTAACTAACCGTAGAGTCCAGCTTTGTCATTCCCCATGTCTCCTCTCTGCCTGTTGACTGTCATGCGGATTCCTTGTCCACGTCTTCCTTACTCCTCCCTGCTTGGGCTTCACTGTCTAGCCCTTTCTCCTAAGGTTGGACTGAGCGCCTTGAAGCCAAACGGACCGACGCCACGTTTCTGTGCTCCCTCACTTCAGTTCTTCCCCAAAGGTATTGCGTGCCAAACTTCAGCTCTACCTTTCTCATGAAGTCATTTCTGATCCTCCAGCAGAATGTGTTTCCGTTCATTCATGGTATTCTCCCATCACCAGTTGCACCGTCTTCTATTTGGGTGACGTGGTTTTCCTCTCCAGGAGGTTATTAGCTCACGGAGAGCAGGACTCTTCATCCTCTGTCATCCCACCGTATCCAACTTGCTTAGTACATTTGTTGAATGAATTTCAGAACTCTGGCTTCTGCTCTGTGGGGGAAGTAGCCTCAGTTTGCCAATTTTCAGTCCTTATCTCCACATATTTTACTGAACGTTTTGATAACCCATGGCACTGTGCTCTCTTCATGGAGTTACACGAGTTCTCCTTTTGTTGCTGGAGCTCTTAGCTTGTTCCTTCCTCCAAGCCTTTGTCATCCCCCGCTCTGGAACAGCCTTCCCCAGGCCCCGGCACAGCTCACACCCCTTCAGCTCCTGGGCTGGCTCACATGCTCCCTCCTGTGAGGTCTTTCTCGGCACCCTTCTGATGTGCTGTCCTGCTCCTGCACCATGCCCTGCTCATTTTCTCTGGAGCCCGGATCCCTGAGGGGACTTCTTCACTATTCCTTTATTGTAATTTCTCTCATGCACCAGACCCTGAACCTCAGCCAGCAGAGACTTCGGCTGCCTTGTCCACTCCTATGTCCCTCTCACTGAGAACAGTGTCTGACCCAAGTTAGCTGCTCAACGGTCGTTCAAATAGTTAAAAATCATTTAAAAGATGTGCCAGTTAATAAGGATATTTGCTTTGAGGGTTGGTAGATACAATTTCATGTCTACTTTGAACTATCTGATTAATAATGGTATGACTAGCTGGTAAGACTTAGGTATTTGCCTAGTACAAGTTTTACTTTGCTCAAATAATTGTAAAGTAGAGATTATTAGCTGGCCGCCATCAAGTCCACTGAATTAAAAGCGTCCAAGAGGTAAAGTGGCATAACAGATTTCAGTCTGGCTCTTCTGCTTACTTAGGGTCAGATCTAAGTAAGTTACTCCTAGAGTTTTAGTTTCTCCATCTGAAAGTGGAGGTTGTCATACCTACCCCACCTACCATATAGAATTTTAAAGAATTGAGATAAAGATGAAATCCCTCCATAAGCCATAAATCCCATAAAAATACAATGTAGTACTATCAAAGAGGGGCAGTAAACTCTAGTTATTTCTCTGAAGAATTTATATTTAGTAAGTTCCAGGAGATAGAATCTTTATCTTTCTTGGTATATAGATCTATACCGTCAAAAGTGTCATTTTAGAGTCCTGCAACTTTTCCTTTTTGAAAAATTACTAAAATGTAGTCTTATGTTAAAAGACAACTTTTTAACAAAACCATGCAATTTGAAAGGAATTATTAAAAAGTTTTTTGAGGAGAATGTGTCAGTGTACCGTTAATTTTAACGATTTTGAAGAAATTACGACAATGCCAGATTAACTTTATATTTCTAATTGTTAATCTTAATAAAATTTAAGTAAGGCCCTTTGTTTTACACATGGCTTTTTTGCAGCCGGTTTCCGCCTAAGAAATAACCATGTAATATGTGTGTTTTTTTTAAATCAGGTAAACTGGTCTGATCTTTCAGTCACAACAGTAACAAAAACCCACCAAGAACTACAGGAATTTCTACTGAAGGTAAAAGTATAGATTTTGTTGTTAAAATGATTTTTATGTAATATATAGAATCCAGAAACCTCGATATCAAAACAGACACCAGGAAGATATAACCACATATGTAGAGGTTGACTTAGAACTCTCCATGAACATCACCTGTAGAAAATGTCATGTTATTCTAAACCGAACTTTTCTTATGTGACCAATATAAGGAAATGAAGGGTTTTCCACATTAAAAAAAATGGACCTTTATTCCTAGTTCCTTGCCGAGGTATATATTAATGGTGGCTGCTTGCAAGGGTACTTGCGGTGAAACGGTGTGTCTGCACAATGACAGGAGGCTTGTTAGCCTTGTTGTGTTCTTAGACCTAACAGCTCTTCAGCTCCCTCTGTGGACTTCCTTAAATCCATGTCCAGTGGTTCCTTCTTCGAGTTCCAGCTTCCCCCTTCCCTCCCTGCCCCCTCCCCCCCAGCCGTGATAGACTCTCCAGAGTATTGAGAATAAGGGATAATGGAAACCTCTTACACAGACTTGCAGAGGTAAAAGGTATCTTAGATCAATTTGGTCAAACGCTTAGCCTGTTTCTTTTACACTAATTCTATTTTACTGAAGCGTGTATGGGTAGAGCTAAATATTAAAAGGAGGAACTATGGGTTTAAATGGTTAACCAGTACCTTACTATTTCTCAATAAGCAAATATATTTTAAAATGTATTGCTAATAAGAAGATAGAAAGTCCAGAAGCAGGAAACATTTGCACTCCATTACTAACTTTTGGATGAAGCTGTGATGTAGTTTTTGAACCTATAACATCAGAAATTTTCAGGACTGTGCTGGTTTCTAAGTTGTGTGCTTGTCACCATAAATATATTCTTTCAGATCATGTGGGTCTCCATTCTGAAAGCTGAAAGACACTCTTTGTCACCAGCTTGCAGAGCTTTGAGCAGCATGGTAGGTGCTGGCTCTAAGGAGGACATAGTGTGATATGTTCTCACAGTGTTGGTCCGCTAACAGGGATAACTAATACCCAGGGACAACTTGAATATTTTCCTGCAGCTCATTTTAACCAACTGAGCCACCCAGGTGCCCATCCTGCAGCTTATTTTAAACTGGGCCCTCCTCGTTAAGGCCTAGAGCTCCTTCTGCCGCTTCAAGATGGTGACCTAAGTGCATGTAGAGATGGGGGGGTCGTGAATTTCCAGTTGCCAAAGGTCCTACGCGGATGACCTGTGAGTAGTCGACAGCGTGGTGAGGAAGGAGAGAGTGGTGGAAGGACTGGCTGCATGAGCACTGTCCTCCAGAGAAGCTCCCCAGAGAAACTGGCTCCTGGCTGACAAACAGTCTGCCTGTTAAAGAAACTAGGAAGGGCTGTCCCGCACCACCGCCACCCCAGCACTTTTAAAATCTCTTCTATTTATATCTGACTTCTCTGTCTCGGTAGAATAGATTTATCAAAGTTTAAGGGCAAGTCGTCATCAACCGGTGTCTTACAGGTCAGAGAGCAACATGCTTCATTTTTCTTGCTTGCCTCGCCCTTTCCACAATGGCGTTCTAATGCTGGAGGGTAGGTTGCAGGGAGATAGAGCTGAGGCTGAACTGTCTTGTGGTATGGAGTCAGCACGGTGGGGTCCGGTGCTGCCGTGTGTCAAGGCCAGTTCCCTGATATGTTAGGGTGGCGGTGCTGCTACCAGCCTGTCCCGCATTCTGCTGAGAGACTTCAGCGGGAGAGCACATGACTGACCTCCAGCCTTGGGCCTGGCACCAGGCAGTCTCTCCTGTTGGGTTTCCCTAAGCTTCAGCTGGTTCTTCGTCTTGACAGATTTTTTTTTTTTTGCAATCGTACAATTTTTCTGAAAGCTTAAGTCCTTTAAAAAAAATACCGCCCCCTATATTTAAGTCACTCTTCAGAATCATGGTAGTTAATGATCCCCCTAGTTAGTCAACTTTTGAATATAGAATTTTTCTAAAGTGGGACAGATGCCTTATCAAGTTATATGAAATAATTGGCAATGTTGTATGCTTCCAGAAACTACTTGCCTATTCTAAAACATCCTTTCCAGTTTACCATATATCTTTTCTCCTTTTTACCTCCCTTTTAAAATCGTCTACAAAAATTAAGAGCACAAGTGTCCTTTTGACAGCCTGTACATACTACCAGCCTTTAACTTTTGTAGCTGCTGTTTAACTGCACTTAACGGTTTGCTGTGATGTGGAAGAGTGAGTTTGAGGTCAGTGCTTTCAAATCCTTTTTTCCTGTGAATAGCAGCCTCCATCCTCACATCCAGGCCCCCTTCCCTGCTACTGCTGCTTAGAAGCTACATCTGACACCTGTTTCTCACCGCGAGACTAGAAGCTCCACGGAGGCAGGGTTTTTGTTTCTTCTCTCACTGCTGTATCCCTAGTGCCTAACGCAGTACCTCGGACGGGGATGGGCTTTGAATATTTGGTGATTGAAGGAATGAGGGATGACTGAGGAGAGTTAGAAAAACTAAATTGTAATGATGGTTCTCCCCTAGGCCTCAATGTTTTAATTTTTTCTTAAGATTTTATTTGAGAGAGAGAGAGAGACAGAGATAGTGACAGTGAGAGCGAGCACGAGCAGGGAGGACAGGGGGAAGCAGGCTCCCCGCCGAGCAGGGAGCCCGACGCGGGGCTCGATTCCAGGACCCCCGGACCATGACCTGAGCCGAAGGCAGACGCTTTTAACGACTGAGCCACCCAGGCGCCCCAGGCCTCAAAGTTTTTAAAGAGAAGCTTGTACTAGCGAGGAGGAATGCCTCCCAGCACTCTGGGCTGGTGCCAGGCTGAGCTGGGGCCGGCGGTGGGCGGCTGGGTCCTGGAACGAAGACCAAGAGGTGGGGAAATTCAGACGTGACTAGAACAGAAGAGACATGATTTGAAGCTGTATTTTTAGCAAATGTGCCTTCCTCTAGGGCTGGAAATAGTCCTTGGAAATTGAAGATAAAAACCACTTGAAAATAAAGCATTTTGCAAATACTGATGACTGCACATCCGCACTCTGCCTAATCACGTGAACAGTCACTGACTGGGTGAAAATGTACGTGCTCCCGCCTTCCGGTGCTTAGAAGAGCCATCAGTGATCCGTAGTGGAAACAGACTTCTCCACTGAGGCTGGTTTTCTTTGGCTGTGTACAGGTGTTCAGGAAATACCTTGTGTAAAATGGGTAATATGAAATATGCCCAGTGTCCTTAATCTGTATTAAAGTAATAAATATTGAAATAGTCATTTCTTTGTTTGGGAAATGTGTAGATTCAGGAGTCGTTTCTTCCTGTTGGTGATCAGAGGACATGCTCTCCACGGCAGGTGTGTGGAGTGCGAGCAGGGCCTTCAGCCTTACCAGGTTATAAAAGAACCAGGAAGAACTTCGTTCTGACAAACCATCTTGGTTCCAGAGTCTCACTGCCTAAAATTAGTAATACTTTATGCTGTCTTTGTTAAATTTTCCGTTTCTGAATCGTTGACTCAAAATGTGTATTTGTTAAAAGCATACTTGCTTTGGATTCTCTGGTTATAGATCAGTATGTAAATTGACAGTTTGTGTAGATTGTTCTATTTCTGCGGCTCCTTAGATACTGTGTTAATGGTTCTACTCTTAATTTTAGTGAAAGTGCCAGTAATTCAGGAGTTCATTGCAAAGACTAGTTATCAGAAGTCAAATTTAAAACTTTGAATGCTTGAAAGACCTGGGAAGTTAATTTTATAAATGATTTATTAGGAATTTTTTTTTAAAGATTTTATTTATTTGACAGAGCGAGACACAGCGAGAGAGGGAACACAAGCAGGGGGAGTGGGAGAGGGAGAAGCAGGCTTCCCGCGGAGCAGGGAGCCCGATGCGGGGCTCGATCCCAGGACCCAGGGATCATGACCTGAGCCGAAGGCAGATGCTTAATGACTGAGCCACCCAGGCGCCCCTGATTTATTAGGAACTTTAAAAAGTAAGCTTAGTTAATAAACAAAACGACTTAAAATTTTGTTTTTAAAGAAAACCTTTCTTGGCCAAGTGATTTTTTTTTTTTTTTTTTTTGGTGGTTTCTGGTACATCGCTCTGAGGGCACCACCATCATGGGGAGGGAAAGGTTACTCACCCTTCAATTAGTGATTTTTATGTGAGCAAGACTGAGAGTTTTCACCCCATCTTTCACACCCAGTTCTTAGAGTTTTCACCCCATCTTTCACACCCAGTTCTTTATTTGGTGCGTCGCGCTGGTAGTCTGACATTGCCTGAGATTCAGATGTGAAACGAGGCACAAAGGTGATGACTAACGGCAGGGATAACACTTCTCAGAATACTACTTGAGGATTCAGATAATCGTAGCTACGCTATGCAAAATGTTATTCCATTTAGCTTCGGTGTGGATGTGACTTCCATGTGGCATGTGGCAAGTAGAACGGGAGTGATGTGCGGGTGTGTCCCGGAAGCGTGCTGGATGCCGCCGGGTCGGTCTGCACCGTCGCAGAGCCCTGAGGTGTGCCCAGAAGGCAGAAGACTGGGTCCTAGTAGAAAAATCGATGCTGTGTCCGTGAGGATTTAGAGAAGGAACTGCTGTGGGACGATGGCTGAGCAAGAGACATTTATCTTCCGTTTATGCCTCTGGTTTGTAACCTCCTTAGCAGTAAGTGAAAAACTTAACATTGGCCTTGCTGTTTTCCTTTTCTAGCTCCCAAAGGAAGTGTCTTCAGAGACTTTTGACAAGACCATCTTAAGAGCCCTGAATCAGGGTTCATTGAAAAGGGAAGAACGGCGACATCCTGACCTAGAGCCCATCCTAAGGTAACAATTCAGTGACACTGTCACAGCGGTGTCACAGACAAGATCATGGGCAGCGGAGGACTTAGAGTGGAGTTCAAGGGAGATCACAGAGATATTTTTCTGTGGAGTACTTTTTTTTTATCCATATGTTATTTGGGTCTAGGCTCCCACTAGGAAACCTCAAACTAATTACTTTGATCATTGGACTCTCTGGCTCTCTGATGTCATAAATACTTACTTCTAAACTATGCCAGCATTCAGTGAACCTCCTGTTTTCTCCATAAAATCTTTATTGAGTTCCTTGTCCAAGAGCTCAACTTTAGAGATGTTTTCTGTTTTAAGTTGTCAAGTAAGAAGATTAGGCTAATGGGTTGGAAAGTAAAAGGAAATGAACGCTTCTGAAGACCTGCTCTTCTGTAGGTGGTGAAGTTACAGTGGTGACTGCTTGGGCATGGTGGGTCAGCTCCCAGCACGCACTGCGTGCCCGTGGAGTGAGGAAGAGATAAAAGATACGGGCAAGTGGAGGAAGGGTGGCGTGGGGGCCCTGTGTGGGCAGGGTGGGTGTGGATGTGGGTAAATAGACTCATTTCATGATGGGAAGTTGAGGGATCTCTTGCCTAATGGCTTATATTTTTTCCTAAAGTAAGAGTTTGCTTAACAGTGGCTACTTTGAGGGTGGGGGACCAAATGTTTGAGAGCAGAAGGGACTTACAGTGGTTGTGTGGGGATGTGGAGAACAGCCTGGCCAGGGTGTGGAGTCCACTTGAGATTGAATATCAGTAAGTTATAGTGATACCGGTCTGTCCTGCTGTGTGGATTTTTTAAAAAAATCTTTTCAGCATTTCAGGTTCAAGTGTTAGGAAAGCAGATCGTTGGATAAGGACTTTCTTGGATGTGATGAAAGGGCACTGGGGCAAAGGAATTTAGGGAAGAGCGTGCAGTGTTTAAAAACGGACAGATTCCTGGAGTGAGGCTAGGTGAGTCGGACGGGAGCGTGAACCGCAGTTGAAGAATTAGGCGTCATGGGAGAAAGCAAGTCATGAAGCAGATCAGAGTGTGAAATGTCTGGATTAGGGAGTTCGGAGGTGGAGACATTCCTTGTGATTGTCAGAAGCTTGGGGTGTGGTTTCGGTAATTGTTTAATTGTTCCACTCACCCCTCTGTGAGGGCTTTCCTTTAGGAGAGAGAAATTAAGGTGGTAATGGCCAAGGAGACAAGTGCTGTTTTACTGGAAACGTGCAGTTATTAATAAGTAAACTCAGGAAGAGCAGTGTTGGAACATAGATGGCCTAGAGCCAGGGCTTGAGTGGGACTTCCTGTCTGCCCTCCAAACCTGAGCCGGCCCCGTTTGTGGAGTAGCCTTGCTGAGGCAGAGAGCGGGCAGAGAGGGGTGTCAGTTGGCATCATGGTCCCCCCACCCCCAGCCAGGGGGGAGCCACTGTTCTCAGGATGGGGCGGGGCTGGGAAGATGGGGTGAATGTTTGCTCCTCGATGGAGAGAAGCAGAAATCTGGGAAGGAGGGTGTGTTCATTGAGTGACAAGATCCAGGCTAGAGCAGAGACGGAGGAAATCACTGGGGAAAAGGCAGCCAAGCAAAGACCCCAGTGTTGGCTGGTCACCCATGTGGAGTTCGAAGTCCCCTGAAGACCAGGAGTGGAGCAGACAGTGAGGCAGGGGCCAAACTGAGTATGAATGTGGAAGCGTGACCCGGTGGCAGGTGTGTGACTAAAACCAGAGGGCGGAGCAGCAGAAAGCAGCTCACGGGAGTGCCCCCAGTGTCGCAGCCCTCGTGATAGGAGGGCAGAGGAGCACCCCCACCCGAACAGGCTCGCAGGGTTTTAGTCCAAGTAAGGGGGTGCAGATCTGTTCATTGCGGAGCCTGGCTATTTGGGGCCTCTCAGAGCGCCCAGCGGGAGGGTTCAGAGACAGTGGTCACCGAGCATTCCAGGGATGAGACTGGTGAGGTTGGGTGATGATGGTGAGGGAGAGTTGGTTGAATTCCTGGGTCCCCTGTGCTACTCAGAAGTCAGTGGGCTTATGCATCCTTGGGGATATTGTTAAGGTGCAGGTTCTTACTCCATAGCACTGGAGTGGACACAGTCCTACGATTTAGTAGGCTGTAGGAGATGCTCATGGTCGTCCATGGAGCACACGTTGAGTAGCAGGCCTTAGAGGGGGGTGAGCACTTAGACCGCTGCCTCTGAAGTGGCTCAGGAGGGAGCTTCTAGCTGTGATCCTGAGGGGTGGAAGGGTGTCTGGGGCATGAACCTGGTGGTTGGCACTGGAGAACGTAGTGAGGATGCCAGCCAGCAGCCTCTGGGGTGTGGTGAGCGGCAGAGTGTGCGTCTTCAGGACGTCTCCAGGAGGAAGTCAGTGCGCGCTCTCACCCTGTCCGTGCTGGCTTCCGGGTGTGCTTTGTTCCCAGCCGGATGATGCTGGCTGCGAGGCCTCTGATTCAAACCAAGGTCTTCTCCTTGCCTGAGGTCACGTGGCTGACCAGTAGTAGACGCAAAGGTCTATTGCATACTGCTCCAATTTAGAGGGATAAAATATAATAAAATCTTATTCAGTATGTTTGTATACAAAGTGCTCCATATAAGAGTTGCTCAATTTATTGAGGTAGTTTGGGGCTTTCTTGATAAATCTGACAGATGTTCAATATAGAACATTTGGGAAATACAGAAAGGTAATGAAAAGATGACAGTTACTCAAAGAACTATTTTTGACATTTTAATTTTTCCTTTCAGTTTTTTGTTTTGCCTGTAATATTAGATAGGCAGTTTTATATCCTATTTTCCTTCTCAAATTATAGGCATTTTATATTTAATTCTTCAAGATTATTTTGAATGGCTACAGAATATATCCCATCTGGCTGTGTAATCCTTTGACTCTTTCTTTGTTGTTTGGGAAGAAAGACAATTTTCTGGGCTTCCCTCCACCCCCCCAAAAAATACAGCTTTGACCATTTTTGTACCTAAAAAATTTTCCAGATTTATGAGTTACCACTGAAGAGAGATTCTTTGAAATTGATTTACTGATTTATGATCCTCTTTTTGTGTCCCTGATAATACATGTATTATTATTTTTCTTATGGAAAAGTTATGTAAATAGCAGTATATACTGTTAGTGTTTGAATTTACTTGCTTATTGGCTGGCTTTGAGTATCATTTAAAAGACTTATTTGATAGGAGAATAATTATCTCACTGGCTTAATGCTCATTTCCTTTGTTCGTGAAATTCAGTATCTTTCTGTAAGTTTTTAGCCATTTGTATATTTCATAAGATCATCTGTCCTTTACCAGTTTATCCTTGTGGGTTTTAGTGTTTTTAGATTTTTCACAACTTATCTTTAGTAATATAATATTTCTCAGTGATGATTTTTTAGATGAAGATTAAAATGCTATGTTAGGTCTATATGTCTTTGTTTCTGTGTTTCGGTTTCTCTCTTCATGAATACAAAGTCATTCCCAGATTGTTTGTTAAATGTTAGGTACATCTCTGTAGCCATATGGGGAAAAAGTTAGGCTAGAGCCATATGTCATTCCTTACATCAAAATTAACTCTAGATGGCTTAGAGATTTAAATGTAAGAAAGAAAACATGAAATTTATAGTATGTGTATGAAAGATTTTTCAGAGTATCACACAATACCCAGAAACCATTAAAAGTGGAAATTCAAATACTCAGAAATCAAATTTCTGCATGATGTAAAGAGGAAAATATAAACAGAGAAGACAAACCTCAAATTCAAGAAAAAATACTTGCAATAATTTCTTTCTCATTAAAAAAAACCTCCTAAAAGTCAGTAAGTAATAAAAACTAATAGTCCGAGGTAGGGAGAAAAATGGGAGCATATATGAAGAAATAGCACAGAGAAACTGAATTTCAGGTGTCATTTTAACATATGAAAAGCTGCTCATAATCAGAAATACAAATTAAAAACTTGAGTTTTATTTTTTTTAGGTGGCCACTGTATTTTTCTAATTTTAAATATAAAATTTTTTTTAATTTAGTTTTTTTAAAGGTTTATTTCTTTTGGGTGGGGAGGGGCAGAGGGAGAGGGAGAGAATCTTAAGCAGGCCCAAGATCGTGACCTGAGCCAAAATCAGATTGGATACTTAACTGAGTGAGCCACCTAGGCACCCCAAATTTAGTTTTAATTGAAGTATAGCTGTCATACAATATTGTGTTAGTTTCAGGTATGTAACATAGCGATCTGACAATTACGTAGACTACGATAACACGACAACATGTGTAGTCACCATCTGTCACTACACGAAGTTATTACAATATTACTGACTATAGTCCAGTCCCTGTGCTGTACTTTTCATCCCATGACTTATTTTATAACTGGAAGTTTGTACCTCTTAATTGCCTTCACCTATTTCACCCATCCCTCTACCCCCTTCCCTTGGCAACCACCGGTTTTCGGTATTTGAACCTGTTTCTGTTTGTTCGTTTGTTTTTCAGATTCCACGTATAAGTGAAATCATACGGTATTTGTCTTTCTCTTTCTGGCTTATTTCACTTAATGTAATACCCAATAGGTCCATCTATGTTGTCCCAAATGGCAAGATTTCATTTTTTTTTTAATGGCTGAGTAATATTCCTTGGTGTACACCACATCTTCTTTATCCATTCGTCTACTGATGGACGCTTAGGTTGCTTTCATATCTTGGCTATTGTGAGTAAGGCTGAATAAATACAGCGGTGCATATATCTCTTCAAATTAGTGTTTTTATTTTCTTGGGGTAAATATTCAGAAGTGGTATTCCTGGATTGTATGGTATTTCTATTTTTGATATTCTGAGGCAGCTCCACACTGTTTTCCAGAGTGGCTGCACCAGCTTGCGTTCCCAGCAGCAGCGCGGGGGGCTCCGTGTCCCCCGCGTCCTCACCAGCACTTGTTATTCTGACTGGCACAGGGTGATCTTGTTGGGTTTTGATTTGCATTTCCCTGATGATTAGTGATGTTGAGCATCTTTTTTCATGTGTCTCTTGGCCATCCGTATGTCTTCTTTG